TAATGCCCAGCAAATTGTAGCCTTCAGGCTGTACACTAAACCAAACATTTAGTGAATGATGATCAGCAAAATGTAGTCTTCAGGTTTTAGGTAGTGCCCAATGACCAACGCATTCTTATGAAAAATCACACTTTTTGACAAACGAGCAACTGTAAACTTCGCGACTGCATGCATGACACATTCGAGAAACAAATTTAGTACACTTCTGGCCTAATAATTCAGTCACTCAAATGACGAGTCCTCAATATCAGCAAATATACTGGGGACTAATTTGACCAATAGAGTCAGAAAATGCGACCACTTCCACAAAATAAACTGGAGAGGTTTTAGAAGCAAGTAGATATTGGCCTACGAACTTTCTTCAGTCAGTTTAATTCATTTATTGATTGCCAGTCCACAGGCAAGTTAAAACCGAGGTTAGTTCTCAGACTGGATGCTATAGTCGGCTTCTAGTCAGTGTAAAATGGATGACCATTAATATACTTTTCGTTCTTACAATCTATCTCCTAAGCTGACTACTCGCGGTTCTCCCCTCGGCTAGAATGTCCTGAAAAAAATGTACACAGATGAGGTCCACCCGGAATACCAAGAACTTAAACTGAAAAGTGGAAACCGCGGACATGCTTATGGTTGCCATAGTCAATTAAAAATTTGGGTTGAACCCGAGCAAAAGCATCTATATTTTACAAAGAAGTAGGGGAAGGCTTCGAGAGGAACGTATATGCAGTCTGCAGTTTTAAAGCAACGCACGAAAGAGTTTGCTGGGTTCAAAATATGATTACTGGACACATGATCTAGGAACAGAGGCGGGAGGGAGGGGACAGGGGGTTGGCAGGAAGAGGTAATATAACAGTTTACTCGTCGGTCAAGCAACCAGTGGAAGAAAGGCGGAAGGTAACTTTGGTCGGGGCAGGGAAGGTTTTAGCAAAGGACGGTTCACGGTAAAATTTGAGGTCAACGCTGTATTAGGAGCGGCTCACCTGGTTCACTTCGACATTCTGTTTCACCCCAAATCGGAAGGCACATTGGCCTTTGGTGGTGATGATGACGACCTTTTGAGTACTTCCCTCAGCCAACGGTTGTACAGCCACGTTGGTGAGTGCAGGTTTGCCCTTCGGACGAGGGCGAGCCAGGTGCTCGGAGATGATGCTGACAATGTCGGCCTCAATGTACTTGAGATGCCGATTGTCGTGACGACTGTCCATCACTGAGGCCCGGATGCGACCGTACATTTTGGTTTCGAACGAAAATTTGGTTGTCATCTTCTCTTCCATGACTTTAACCTGAAGGGTTAAGCATTCGGCATCGGATTCAGACATTAACGAATTGATCAAGTACCGAGTGAGCACAGTGAAACTTTAAACAAGAAATACAGCAAAGACGAGGCCTCATATCTGTCCGACACTCTAGAAATCGAAGGGGTTGAGGTTTCAACAGCCATGGTTAAAAACCATAACTCAACAAAGCACCCCTATACTGTTTTGGAAATACATCAAATTCCCTCCGGCTCGATCCTGGGCCCAGTTCCAGTTCTTTCCATTCACTGGTGATAGGACTTCGCAGTTCCGTCCAAAGAGTTGCTTTCGAGACCATATTCACTTAAAGAACTACAGGTATTCAGCACCGATTTCACTCAAATCTTAAAATTTAACCTTTCAGAGTTTGCATCAGTATCACGCGTCACCACATCAGATGTGTGATTTTTTCAAAGCGCGGAGCTACAGCCGTGGACAGCAGTAGGTTTGCTCTTGCGTTAGCTTGTTTCTTCTTAGTTTCACGATTAATCCCAATTTCAGGGCGAGAGTATGCGCTCCCAGCTTGTCTTCCAGTCCCAACCTCGGCTCTCTCTCTCTCTCTCTCTCTCTCTCTCAGAGGTTAGCGTTTTGATCCAGGCGGGTTATTGCGCCCATCTGACAACAGCTGAGGAAGTGTGGTTTCGTAGCGGAATTGTTGGAGCGCTTAGCTTAAACTACTCACTGATGAGCTGAATCCCAGCTATCTGCCTGGCGTTGG